GTTTAGCAAGCTGAAACGGAAACATTAAATTTTAGAGTGGAACACTTAATTTCATAAAAAGGAGGGTATATAATTTGTAACTATATTTTGTCTAACTTCTATGTGTATTCCCTGCATATAATTGTAAATTGTAAGGAAACCAAGAAAACATCAGAAAACCGAAAATAAGAAATGTGAATTTTTTAAAAATTTCAAAAAATAAAGTTCAGCAGTATAAAAATGTTAAATTTATGTAGTAAGAATGTGCTATATCTTGAAATTTATATCCCAATTTTAATACTCACATTCTTAACGAAAAGTTTCATAAGATCATAAACCCTTTTTGAAAAGTTTTTGCTTGAAATACTTTTTTATCATTTTTTTTTATATTGCTACTTTCGATGAATACTTTCAATAGACTGTTAGTAAACATTAAGAATCCTCATTAAGGATTCATTTTCATCCTAAATAAACATTCACACGTTCGATTTTTCTCTTTTTTATTATTTCCCAGTATATCCAATCTTTCTCAGAAGGAGAACTTTCTTTTATTCTCATTGTTTCGTTTTTATCTTCTATAAAGAAACTGAATTTATAATCTCATGTTGTCAGCTGTATGTGCTTCAATGTGCGTTATGTTAATAAACATGCCTTTAAGTTAAATATGTACGCGCATCCGAAAGAGAAGTACTAACTTGTGAACATAAAAGCAAAGAATAAAGAAAATCATGTAATAAAAAGCGTCATGAGCAAGAAATCAGCGGAAAAAGAATGAAGCTTTAAAATTTCAAAAGAATGTGATTTCTTCACGAAAATTTTAACGAGTATTTTCTGTAAGAAAAGGTTTGTATGCTTAACATTGACAAGACAATTGCCAAAATTTGTTTGACTGTCTTGCTGGAAATATTTGATTATTATTATCAAATGCGTTGAAAAAAGCTAAGTTTGGCATACAATTTTCAAACTTTTTGTTCTTTCTCATTTTTTATCAAGTCGATTTTGATTTCCAGTATTTGCCTCTTTTTCTGTTCTGAATACATTTACTTCTTTTGTGCTTTTTTTCTGCGATTTAACACTCATCTTTACTGTTATGTCTTTTTAATAACGATCATAAATTGTTTTTTTTTGTGATCTGAGAAGAAGAAAACATTCTATGACAAAAGCGAGAGTTAATAACAATCAGGATGTGAAATAGGTTAAAGATTTTGCTTTTTATGTTAAATTAGCATCATTCAAAATCATCAAAAGAATAAAGCAAATTAATATCAACTTAGTCAATTTCTTTGAATGTTAAATTTTCGGCACATCTGAATTGATTGAATTTTAAACTTTCCAACCGAAAACTTATTAAAAATTTTAATTTTTTTGGATACACTAAAATCCCTGACTTAATAATAAAGGTCTTTATATCATGTCACATAGTGTGTCGCTAGCATTGTTCGTATTTAATAAATTTTGAACTAATCAATTTTAAAATGATCCAACTCTTTGTTATTAGCTTATTACATATTTGCTGACAATGATACTCTTTAGATTTAAATTTCAAAATATTTCTCTTTATGCTCAAGGTACATATGCTAGATTTTTGCAACATTTTCAAACAGGAATTTCAATGAATATATACTCAAAGATAATTTTGGTTAGATACACAAAATTTGAATATATTCATTGAAAAAGCTTTATAAAAATAAAGGCCGAACCATAATTGGAAGGGTCTGTAAAACGAATAACGCAAAACATATTTATGTATACAGCCGATTTTCCAAATCTGAAGATTTACAGGGCAAATGAAAATTCAATTGAATTTGCGCTATAAAGTCGATTTGAAAGCACTTTTAGATCCAAAAGATCCCAACGAAAAATATTAAGTTCCATAAAATTACATTATGGGCAATTCTTTGGATGAGTGGAATTTAAAAAAAAGAGCTTTCATAATCCACTGTCAATGAGTTTGTGTCAATAAATTTTTTTCTTTAAATTCATATTACTGTGAAGGAATAATAAGACAGAACTTTCGGAGATCATAAAGCATAATTAATTCTTTAAAAGTGATCTATTGAAATGTTACAACTCACCTAAATTAAGTGAAAAATTGAAAAAATATGTTTGAAAATTTTGTATTTTTTCACGGATTAAGACAAAAAAAAGCTTTTTTATAACTCGATGACACAAGGAAATTTTTCAAAGAATTGAAATATTTCATTAATTAATGACTTAAACCACACAGAAAAGCAACCTAATTAAAGATTTTTGTCTGTGCTATAACTCAGTAAAGGTTATTCAATGTGGATATCTATAGTTTTCTCTAATTTTCGATTCTTCGGATGATGAAAATTAAAAATTCCGATTTCTGTCATCGAGTTATTGACTAAAGAATCCAAATAACTTAATTAATACAGCGACTAGAAGTATATGATATCAGTAGTAGTGTACATTTTAGATTTTTACATCGATAATAATCATAAAATCAGTGTCTCTGATGGGAAAAATCAATAAAATTTCGATTTTTTGCTGAAAATTTTCCAAAAGTTATCCAAAGAATTGCCCTTATACGAGAAATTCACGCATGACTTCGAGAGTAATAGAAAATGGAACAATAAAAAGAAAATTAGTCAAGTAGCATTGATACTTTATGAGAAAAGCCAATTGCCTTTTCTTATAATGTATTCCAGATATCGTACTAACGAAGCACAAGAATGCCTTTTTTTCTTTCCGCCTCTTTCTCTCATCATGCTCTAAATGTCATTGAAAAGTATTATTTTTGCGTTCAAGTGAGGTAAATTAATTAAATTATGGAAGGGTGATTCAATTATTGACAAAAGGAAGTGAAGTTCTTCAATAAAATCATCGTAAATTCCTTTTTTTTTCGTCATCACCATCAGCACTGATGAGGGTTTTTTACTCACTTTCCTTTAATAATAATTCTTTTTTATGTTGAACGATCTAAGAAGGAAAAGGATAGAAGAAAGTAAAGGAAATGAAATGACCCTGCGCCTAATTAGCTTTTCATTTGAACTTGCCTTTTCCAGGATTTTTCCTCTTTATTTGAATTTTATACGCATTACGCCAATAAAGATTGTCTGTTCATTTCTTTACTTTATATTTCTCCTCTCTATCTCCTTCTCGTCTCTTTATGTATCTTTTTTTTTGGGTCGCGGAATTTGCGATAAAATAAAAATAAAATAGGAATGAATGCAAGCAGATAAAAGATTTTTTTTGTTCTTTTATAAATCCAATCATAATTTTATGCATTGTTTTTATTCATTCTGCCTTTTTTTTTCTCCAGTGAATTGTATATGAGGCTACGATGGCGACACATAATCCCTAATTTATGGACTCAAATCCCCTTTTTCCATTGTCAGTTGAGTATTTTCACACACATTTATGTGAATAAATCTACACAGTATGCAGCATACAATGTGAAAAAACTCAATATAAATTATTATTCTTCAATGGCTGTTGCTTCAACAATAGTTTTTTTTTGTGTTGGTGTCAATGTATGTTGCAACATATATATTGAGTTAATCTTTAAGTTTAGCTTTTTTATAGATCAATATGATTTAAAAGAAAAAGGGATTTCTTATTGTTTTTATTACATTGCAAATATCGACATAAATTATTGTTATACTGAAAACAATACTCTCAAGTATCCTCTTAAGTTATATCTTTTGTCATTTGTATTATTCGCGCGTCTTTCAAAACCTGTTTTCTTTATGTTCGGCTGGCTTCGGAATAAACTTTATTTACAAATCTACGTGAGCTGAAGTGGCTTGGTGGTGGAATGGTTTAGCACTTCGGTACCTAATTATTGCAATACCGATACAGCGATCAGTGGTTTGAGACAGGTATGCGAAATTTTTCACTTGTCCTTTTTCGAATCATATGTACTGGAAATGAGGCACACAGTCTTTCTTTGGAAGCTACAGAAAGAAATGTCATCAAAGCAGTGGTTCGGATTCTCCTATAAATTGTAGGTCAAGGTTATTTTTAAACTCTGATTAGCTGTGAAACGCCCTAGCACACTTCTGGATCACAATTGATCTGAATAGGTAAAGGTTTTTTTTTTAAAAAACTACTTGATTCATAATACGGACGCTTTAATTTTAGGACAGATTTTGTAAAGATTGTCTAAAATGAATGTACTTTTGTAATTTTTTTATGGAGTACGTATGATATTTTATCAAATAATTATTAAAAATAAAGTAAACTTGAATCACGAATTTTAAAAACTTTTCGTAAAACTAAACAATTGTCAGATTTAAAACTGCGCTCAAGTATTACGATTTTTTTTACATTTTCTTCTCTTCCATTCCGAAAATAGTATACAACACTTTATTCCTTATGGTATTTCATATTATTTTTTACAGCATTACGTGCAAATATGAATATACGAAATAGAATACAAGAATGAATTGAAATGAAATGGAGGACACTTGAGTACAGGATGTTGAAGTTTGAAAATAAAGAAGTACTCATGAATGTTAAAGCACTTTTTTCATTGAGAAATATACAAGGAAAAGGGATAAATACGAAGAAGAGTGAGGAAATGTAGGACATAAGAAATAAACAGAGTGAGAAATTTATTCAAAATCAATTTGTATTTTATTCAAACAACAATTTGTATTTGAACCCCACACTACTACCTTGTATCACTAAGTTCAATTTTCGATACAATAGAAAATAACATGTATGCATCAAGCAAGCAAGCAGAGCCTCATATTGTATTCATTATTCTACTTTAACTTCCCGAAGGGAATCATAATCAACATCAATTGATCCTTTATAAGCAAGCATAAGGTTGCTAAATTTGTATTTTCGTGTTCATATAGATGTACACATATACGCAGAACTGAATATTTACTTTCAAGAGAGCAAACGTAGGCAAAAAAAAAAAAAAAGATTTTTTTTATTGGTGTGATGATGTGGAAGAAAGGCATTACGAGTATTTCCGAAGATTTTTACATTTTTGATTGCTTTAAGATTTTAAAAGCTTGTTTTTAAACATTATCTTAGATTTCATTAAATATTTTAATAACTTTTCTGAAAAATCTGTAGCTAGTTTCTAATATAAATTAAAAAGCAGGCAATCAGGTAATTAAAATAAGGATATAAAGGAGAGACATAACTGGGAAAAAATTGGTCACAAGAATTGTGAACTCTGATATTTTATATGCTTATTTAAAAATTGAATTAAATTTCATGTGCTTTAAAGGTTACCAAAAAATATATTCAAGTCACCTACATAATCTCATGAGATTACAGTAAAATTTTAAATTAAAAACTCTTTACATTTTCAAGAGAAAAAATAAATCTCAATGGATTAAAAACGGATTAAAGTCTTTCATGTCTTAAATTTTTATTCTCTTTCACATACGTGCATGTATTTATTTACAATTTATATGTGCATCCGTGTTCGTAAGGTTTTGACATCAATCTTTAATTTTTTTTATTCTGTTTCATGATTCATTCTCATTTTTGCAATCTTTATCGTTTCAATATTCACTAATACCAAGAGTCATGCAATCATTGTAATTGATTGATGTAGAGATTGCCAGAGAGTAATTTAGTCGTTGATTTTTCTCCTTTTACTCTCAATTCCATTTATATTGATTGAAAACCAATTTCATAGAACATTTAAAGACAATTTTAGTAGAGTTTGAAAAATCATGCTCTCACTCTAGCTTTAAAGGCAATTTCATTAATTTGGATGTTTTAAATTTTAAATATCAATCAGATTAATAATAATGGTCATCATCAAACTTTCATGAAAATATATCTCTTGAAATGAGAAAAATCATCCTTAAACTTACATAAACATTTTCATAAAAATAAATTTTATTTTCCTAAATTCTCATATTTTTCCGCTCCAATTTTCTTTCTTTCTCGTCCCTATGTCATAAAAAGAGATTTCTGCTTTTTTATTTTCATCGTCTCATACCTTACAATATTTTCCACCACATTTAGAACATAAAATCAAAGTTCTTTTTCTTTGTCGTATTTTTTGACTCGGAATCAAGAAGGGAATAACTTTACAGAATCATATGGAAACCTTTAACCGAAAAGGTTCTTTTCCTTTTTTTTTCAAAGTAACCTTTTTAAGTTTAGATTCTTTTTTATTCTGTGTAAGTAAGAACTATTTATGCATTTTATGAGCGAACAAATTATGATGTGAATTTTTTATAAGCAACATCACAATGCGATTTTGATACCATTTTAATGAAAAAAGTGAGTGAAATGTAAAAACGTTTGTTTATCCTTATTCACATAATAAACCATAATAATTAAGAATAATCTTTTTAAAATATAATGTTAATTTTTTGAATATTTTTGATGAGTATTGATTGAATGAATTAGACTTATAAAGGCAATTTTAATGGGATATAAATATACAAATCACTAAATACACAGAGTTGCGATTATTTCTGAGCATATATGTATTTTTAAAAATCTCATTTACCATTTTAAATAAATTTTAAAAGGAACAACAATAAAGAGAAAAGAAAACTTAAGAAATATTTTAAATAAATCAAATTTTAATAAACCATCCGTCAAATTTTATTTTTAGCAAACTAAACTCATAAATTACTCATAATGTTCATGTAAAGAGCTGACATCCCGAGTGGACAAAGTACTAGTTAAAAGCTTGCCATTGACTTGCCTTTTCACGGCAAGTAAGTATCCATTGACGTGCCTTTGCAACTAGACTTAGGGACGACTAATGACATATTTTGCGCTTTCCATTTAACTGGACATAGGAATTGCAAATATGTCTAGTTAATGTCCAGTTACAAAAAAATCGAAATAAAATAAATAACACGTGTCTTTTTCTCCATATTTTTTTCTTTTGTAAAATTTTATTATTGTATTAGTGTAATTAATTAATTAAAGTACACTATCACTTATGAAAAATCTCTAGTAAAAATTGAGTCTCGAACACTTGCGCGTGAAACAATTATATTTACTTAAAAGTTTCATACAAATTTTGGTGGACCTTATATAAGTGATTTCTGTAAGCGCTTGTGAAGTATATGGTCAAAAAAGTAAGGAAAATTATTTTTGAGTTTCGAACACTTGATTGATTAGCATAAATGTCCAGTTAAAGTCTAGTTAACGTATAGTTCTCTATGTCGTATATATTTTGACAAGTTAAAAGACTGTTAAATGATTGTCCAACAATGGACTTTAACTGGCTGTGTCCACCCGGGCATGTAAGAAAGATTGACATAAAATTACAAAACCGAAAATCAAAACTGTTTTATAGTTTTAATTACTGTCTTCCTTTTTTCATTTAAGTTTTCCATGAATTTCATTCCATCTGTTTGCAAAAAATTAAAGAAAAAACGACAAAAGTATTCTTATAGATTTAATGAAATGCTGAATGCGGAATAGCAAGTATCATATAACAAGTGGTGCATGAATTTGATGGCAAATGAAGATTTTTATGAAAAGTTATAAAAAAGTGAGAGGTGTATACATAGAGTAAAGTGAAAAAGAGAAAGGAAAAAAAACATTTAAATTAAGCTCAAATTTAAGATTAAATTGCGTCACCTGCTGCATAGTAATGAGTCTCAACCGTAAACTTTTTTCTTTCCTTCTTCTTTTTGCTACGTTCTCACTCGGTAGAGCTAAATTGTATACATTTACAATAAATGAATTTAAATGAAAATGAAATTTAATAGCGTTATGGTGGTGAAATGGAGATGACAAAGGAGGAGAAAAAAGAACGATATAAAATTGTGAGGGATTAACTTTGGACTTTCAAGCTTATTCATAAATTGAATCCACTATATTTTATAAAAACACCCTGCTCCCTACGTGTATTAGTAAGGAACAATTCACCTTGCTGTAGATAAATTATGAGAAGAAAAGAAAATGCTGAATATCATAATAATACACTTAGTACATAAACCCCACGAGGATCTCAATGGAAGAGAGACTAAATCCAGTATTAATATATTAAGTTCGCTTTTAATATTTATGAACTCATGGGAATAAATTTCGTTTAAAGGAGATTGTTACATGACTGCTTACGTATTTTCACTAGGCTTGAAGTGTTAAAAAAAAGAATTTAAGCAATGACGGAACTCTTATTCTGCATGAATAATGCTAATATAAATTTCATGTTAATGATGGTTTCAACTATGCTTTATATCTTTCTCATTAATTTAAAAATTTTCGATAATATTGAGTCCCTGTTTGATAAAGTATATTTCACTCATTTCTTCATAAGTGTACAAGCACAAATAGAACAAACACATACATTCATGTTCAAAAGTTGAACAACTTTTTAAAATAAAATTTAATGTGTTGTTTAATCAACGAAAAAATTATGAATCAACTTCAAAAAAAAAATTGATTAAAAGGTTATCACCAAATTTTTTTTTTGGATTTTCAGAGGTTCATTGTCCTCAAAATCTATAAATACACTAGTGCAGTACATGTAAGTACAACGAATTCGATAAAAAAATATATATTCACATAATGCTCTCAGATCTCAAGACAATAATGCATAACTTAAAATTAGTCATTTTATTTTTGATCTTACATTTTGCCACAGTGGCATGAAAGTTTAAAACTTTTTTGGTTTATGAAAAAGTATCTGAATTTCTCGATTCTATAAAAATACTGCAAATAAAGAGAGATGCACATTTGTTTCTGCTTCATATACAACTATATGATTGTCTGTGTATACATTTTCAATTGTACATTGTAGGACATTGTTATGTTTCCTCTTTTTATTTATTTGTTTGATCAGCATTCATTTATCTTTTCAAGGCACTTGCCATTATTCCATGCTGTTTTTGTATGTTTGATAATTCTATTGAATGTTTTTATTTTTATCTTCTCATGTCTCTTTGTGATTGTGTCGTATTAACTTGAATGACATACTAAAAAAACTCAAAAGCATTGAAAATAGGAGGAGGAGATGAACATTGAAATCATTGACATACAAACATAAAAGCATTGTTGAGATGATGAAATTTTTTCATCGTTTTTAGCAATTTTTTTCTTAGCTTCCAATTTCTATTCAAATTTATGAATTTATTTTAAAACATCATTGCTTTTATTCATATTTTTTAATCTGAGCAGTAGGTTAATGACTTCCCTCCATAATCTTTCTCATTTATTGTACGCGTGCATTGTTCTCATCATAAAAATAACCTAATGTAAAAATCAAGTCAATCTCAGCTTTTTAAAGTTTTGCATGGTTTATTACTTGATTAATCTATACCGACTCAGTGAAAATTAAGGAAAAATTCAAGGCGTGGACACTCAAAAATATGCTGGGATTATTCAGGATTATTGGGATTATTGGGATTATTTGGAATTATTGGGATTATTTGGAATTATTGGGATTATTTAGGGGCCGTTCACTTTTTACGTTACGCAATAAAACGACTTTTTTCATCCCCCCTCCCCCCTTGTTACAATATGTTACAACTCACAACCCCCCCCCCCCCCCCCACCCCCCCCCCCCCCCCCCCCAAATTTTTTTTTTGAAGAAAATTCAAAAATATTATGCCCGATCGAATTTCGGAAAATTCAATCTACTTTGAATGTAAATATCACAATGATGGGATCATATTAATCATCATATGAATGACAGATTTAGAGAGATTTACTTTTAAACTTATGATTGATTAAATTTTGAAAATTTCCACAAATTATGATTGTATTTTAAAGTCTTGTAAACCAGTTTTCTATTGATTTGTTACTTTATATAACAAAAACTATGTATTGCTTAGTTATCAAAAGAGATCTGGACATTTATAAATCATTAAAAAGGTGGAAAATTTAAAAAAATGTTTTTGGTGTGAATTTGTAAACAAATATTTTTTTTCGTGAACTTTTTTTTAAAAGACAGACGACAGTTCGAACGTTACATACTTCTTGACACCCCCCCCCCCCTATGTTACATTTGGTTACAATTTTTCAAACCCCCCTTCCCACTAAAATGCGAACGTAATAAGTGAACGGCCCCATAGGATTATTGGGATTATTCAGGGTTATTGGGATTATTGGGATTAGTCCCAGTGTCCACGCCTTGGAAAAATTGCAAAAAATTGCAAAAAATTAAAGTCCAGAACCTTTCTAAAGTACATTTTGAATCCCATGAAAATATATTATGTTGTAAATTGGACTATATAAATTAGTAAAGATTGGTTCTGTAAACTTACACAGCAAAACTAAACTTTGCCACAAAAAAAAAGTATCCAACAAATAAAGATACCATTTTCATTCATTAAATGCTCTATTATCATTTACCTAATAAGCTTGCATTTCTATCTCAATAAAAAGAACATTTATCTACACAATAAGAAAGAAAAGCTTCATGAAAAAAGAAATGAACGAAATTGTTTTTATATGTCTACAAATAATATAATAAGGAAGAGGAAGAAAATAATAATACAGTAGTGCCACTATATAGTTGCGACAATATAATTATGTACGATTTCCTCTTAATAAAGCTGCTCCTCTCCTTTTTTGCTGTATAAAATGTGTATGCATGTGTATAAGAAAAGGAAAGTAAAATCAAGAAAAAGAACAGAAGGAAAAAAAGCATAAAATTGTTATTATTTTGTGTGTGTGTGTGTGTATTGTGTAGCAGTTTATATAATAATAATAAAAAATATTATTTTCGTACTGTAATGGTATAGCAGAGATCTCAATTTTCTCATTCTCATATTTTTATTGCTACTTGTTTCTTCATGATAATTTATTTATATCAATTCATGAGTTTTTTTTTTCTCGTATTTGTTGGTAGACGATAGATAGCAGAAATTCACTCTTTAGAAGTCAGCGTGATATCATTCTCATATGTAATATTTAAACAATAATATATTGAAAAGGCTATAAAAATTCAAAGAGATCAGTCCTGCCGTGAAATAAAAAAAAAGGTTTAAACGTTTAAAATAAAAATTAAATCTAACTTACTTCAAGTGAAGGCATATTTATCCTTAAACTACTTTAAAAACTTTAAACTTTTTGTAATGATTTAAACATGTAATATGAAATGAGTTAAGCGTTGTCTATGATTAATATGCATAGAAAAAACCAATTAGGATTTAAAAATCTACATTGTAGAAATGAATAAAATGTGTACATAACGATAGTCACATAACAATCATAATTAAATTAATTATATGATGACATATCTAAAATGCCTTAATAGGACATATCAAGAGATAATAATATCTATAAAATAGCTGATGTAAGCATAAATTAAAAGATGAATGATAAAGCATGAAATGAGATGACATTATATGAAATGCCTTTACCCTCAATTGTGAACACTTCTCAAAGCTCACGCATGTATACAAACAAATGAAAGTTTTGGGGAGCAAAAACTATTTGTCATTTCGGCTTTACAATTAAATGGCATTAAGTTTTCCTCCTGTCAGCTCTCGAAAATCATTTAATATGACATGTTAATTCTTACATCTATTTTTTTCTCCCTCTGTCTATTTAGATATAATACAAGAGAATCAGTCATGCTTTTAGTGTTAGCTGAACCATAAAGTATTATATATCTCCGGATTTTTTTCATTCTTTTGTATGTATGCCTTTGTTCTTTTTCCTTTTCATGCAGCAATGATTTTTTATTCATAAATAACGAATAATATGGTAAAAATTGACATTTAATATCATTTTGATCTTTCCTGATGCGAGTTACTTAACAAGTTCAAAATTTAATAGCAAACCTAAGATTTATGATGAAAATAAATTTTGACTAGCTATTAAAACAAACATTTAATAAAAAAGAAAATGTGTTCATCTCATCATTAATTTAAGTGACGCTTCAAACTTATCCTAAATTGGGCTTCAAGATATTTTCAAATCGTTTTAATAAAAGCAAAGTAAAGCATTCGATAAATAATATAAATAACTCATTAATAATACAGTGAGAAAAGAGCACACTTCATCACATTATAGCCGGTAGGCGTAAAGATTTTTATATTCATTATTTTAACCTTCGCTTGATGATGTATTAAATATTAGTCATGTTTCAACATTGTTAACTTTTGCCATTAATATGATGTGTTATACTTCCTTTTACTTGCTGCTTCAGCGACTTGTTTTTGTTATTTTAACATCCATTGAACCATCATTAATCTTGTAATAAATTTTTCACCTTCTTTCTCCCCTCACATTTCACTCTCCTCTCTTATCGGTATGCTTTTTGTTTATTTGTGATGCTTTCATAAACACTCTTAACGTAAGAATTATTAATAACTGTAGACATAATGAAAATTAAATTTTACAAAGATCCAAGAACAGGGAAAAAAGCTTTTAAAGCGTCAAAAATAAATTAATGAAATTATCATCAATAATGGAGAAAAAAAAGTTTAAACTTATTCTCGTGCGAAATGTTATTAACTTACCTTATTTACATAAATAATTTCATCTCTTCTCATTCTCCCTCAAACACTCGTTTGATATTCTCACAGGACAATCCCCTCTCTTAATTACATTTCAGCAACCTATAAAAAAAAAACTTTTGCTATACATCCCGGTGATACATTTTTCCATAATATATACTTCTGTGCTTGTATCTATAAATCTATAAATATTTTGTACATTAGTTGTAAGGGTCGTTCACTTATGACGTCCGAAATTAACGGTCTTTTTTCAAAGAAGAACAATGGATTTCCAGGAATTTTCTATTGTTCTTTTCTTGCTGACCCCCCCCCCCCTTCCCCCCCGACGTCATAAGTGAACAGCCCCTAAGTGATGGAATATTTTTATGAAACTTTAAATAATTGACAGGTCGTTTTGAATGCATTTATTTTTTGCTTTGAGAAATTGTTCTTGCTAATAATCACACAAAGAACTTAAGTCTTGAGGATTTTCATGGTGTAGCATAATATTATAATGATATATTTTTAATTCATCAGTTAAATCGTGCACGTTTATTAATTGCTTTGCAGGCTTTACACAGTACATTATTCAAGCGCTTCATCTTTTTAATGTGAAACTCATTAAATGTTAATTCCTACAATTAAATGAGCACTAACCAAACGTTCTTTGCTTCCATTATAGGCTTTCAAAGCTATATTTTATCCATGTTCGTATTTCATGTGATCTTAAAACTCATGAAATAAAGTTATGTATCAACAAGTTCTTCCTTAATTTTTTTATTCCCTTCTTTGTATTTCATGTAAGTTGGCTTTTGATAATATTCGAGAAAAGTCACCAAATTACTCATTCTGGCCATACATTTCAGCGAAAGATTATTCTCTTAAACTCCGTCTGCTAGGATTTTCACATTTCTTTTCTCGTATTTATCTCTTAAGTGATTTATTGGTAAAGCAATAAAAACCATTTAAATTAAATTCCTTTTTGAGGCTTTTTTTGCTGCTTCTGTTAATGCTTTCTTTTCTGTATGAAAAGACAATCTGAATTTATTTCATTATGTATGAGTAAGTCAAAGGGGATTTTTATACAATATCTTTTCAGAAGTAGTAACAACAAGTCTGTAAAACGTGATTTCTTACCACATTTTTCTTTGTGAATGGTTTATACATATATGGACATATACAAGCTTTTTTTGTAAAGAGAAGAAAAGGGTCAGACTGATTGTATATACATGTTCTTCAATTTTTATCTTTATTTACTTATCCTTATTTCCATTATTGAGTTTTCAATTTATTTTTCGAGAGTGATTTAAATATTTTGAGAGAAATAATGTTTAAACTTTAACATTCATCAGGTGTTAGGTTATTTTTACAAAAAAATAATTAGATCAAAAATTCTGATTGATTTTAGGTTTATTAGAAAAACATTAACCTTAATCATATTTCTCAGAAATTCTAATTGGTTAGGAATGAACAACGAGCTCCAGTTACAGTTGGTATAAAAATATATTTACTACTCGTTCAATAAAACATAAAATCTGTCTGCTATACTTCTTGAATATGATTTTAAACCCAGCATTATTGTCAGTAATCGAGCATGAGTACTCTTGCTCAAAAAGTGATTTAATACACACTATCAAGTTACGAAGTCCAAAAGTATCCATCAAAAATTCATAAACACTTTTTTATTCTATTCACAAGAAAACTTTTAAAACAAATCCCTCTAATAATATTTATTTTTCCGTTCAACGAAAGAAGAATTTAAGGGAAAAATAAGGCAGTAAAAGAAGCACTTTGGAAAGCCAGTTTAATACTATGAAAATTCCATCACAGCGTAAATAAATTCATCATAATCATCGTTCTCTGTTGCTTGCAGAAATATGAAAGAAAAATGCGAAGTAGAGAAAAAGAAACTTTTCCAACCAAGTTTGCTCCCTAGACCGCCAAAATATAGTATTGAAAGGAAAAACTTTTTGCCTCCTCGCAGCACATTTTTATGCTATGCTAAGAAAAATTATAAAGTTTTACCATATTTCATAGATATAATATTAAAAAAAGAATTTTTCATATACCATAAAATCATGAGGTTTCTCTTCATTTCATTCTACCAATGTGTATAAAGATTCACTATGACGTTACGCTGTATTATTATTACCGTTGTGTGTCGAGTGCTTAATAAAATTATGAAGCATTCATCTTGTCACCGTGAATGAATATAACGCAAACACAAAAAAAAACATTATTTAGAATAGAAAAGGAAAAAAGGAAGAAATGGTGATGAAGAACGAAAGATAGGTTTTCGAAAAAAGCCATTTATGAAATATGACGACACAAGTGTCAAAATTAATGAACTAAACATTGAATTAATTACATTTTCTTTCCTGTCTCTATGTTTGACTGCTTACCTAATGATTTCTAACTTTTCACTTCTTATTCTTTTCATTGCAGATTTTTTATACAGCATATTATATAATACTTCGCAAAACAGTCAACTTATTCGATCGTATACATACATAAATACATACATTCACACTTATAAGCAGTTAAAAAGCAAAAGTTTTTGAAATATGACAAGTATGGCAAGGAGGAAAAAGAATATAACAACGTCTCATGCCACCACATCGAGAATGGCATTTTGTTTTCTCATATTTTTACTTAAACAGATTTCAATAGGTAAGTGATTTAAATCATATTTTATATAGGTAATTGGACATTTTTGTATGCAAGAAAATTGTGTAATGAGTTAAAAAATTGTGGTTTTAAAGTCATACGCCACACACTTTTTTAAAGGATTAGCTACTGATTTATATTTCATCATTATTTACAGTTTATTCATTAGGCTTAAATATTTCTATCGAGCATTTAAAAAAATTTCTAGTTTATTAAAACAATTAAAAATGGAATTGCTCGATGCTGTTTTTTTTAATACCATTAAATATAAAAACGAATAATTAAGTTAAATTGTAATTTTAAGCCAAACATTTCAGGGCACAAATTTTCAAAAAGGGAATTTTCTTCGTGTGTTTAAAATTTCTAAAGTTTAAGTTTATAAACTTGTCACATATTTCGATAAGTTTGATGATATTACAAATGCCGTCGATGTTGAAGTTAATGATGAAAAGGTAGCAGAAACTGAAATGAAGAAGTTTGAAAGAGTCTCACACTATCAAGAAGAAGATTTATCATTAAAGCACGTACAACACGCTTGAATACTGTTTCATTCACCTACAAATTACACGTTACCGTTGATACACCGGTTAAAGGTGCCGTTCATTGCTACATTGGACTCAAATATGATAAATTTGACAATGCTTATCATCTCAATGATAACAAATAATCTTTGTTCTTCTTGATGTTTTCCCATATGAATTCACTGTTCATGAGAACATTGCAACCCGTAATTCAGTAATGGAAAGAAACATAAACTATGCACCTCTGAATTATATGCTAGATTTCCAGACCGTCCAATGCTTAATTCCTCAAATAAGAGTCCTTTTCCTTAATATGTGTATAAATCCATTTGATCGAGAAAAAGATAAATCCTTTTGAAATCCATCAAAATTTGATATGAGATTTCTGAAGGAAGGGAGTTGAGACTTCTGTTTTTACATATTTACAAGACCTCATTTTATAAAAGATTTTTTTAAAAGAAATTATCATTATGTTGGAAAATATCAATTAATTGCCCTTTAACTGTAATAAAGTAATTGACACAATCAATTTGTTCATGTCATTCGAAAAAAGCAAATAATTTTAATTTGAAATTCAATTTATTTCATTCACAGTTGTCTGCCTAAAGGAACTTAAAATTTTTGTGCCCGAAGCTGTAATAATGGGAAATGCAGCAACCCTCACGTGTCAATATGATTTAGATAATGTAAGTACTGCATCAATTTATTAAAAAATATACACTTAGTAATAAAATATTATTGCTCCTCGTTTACAGGCAAGTTTATATTCAGTTAGATGGTACTTTGAGTCTGAAGAGTTTTATCGTTATGTTCCCAAAGAAGTACCGCCTGCAAGAACATTTCAAGTGGCAGGAATTACTGTCGATGTAAGTACACGAGTGTGTCATGAAAGCTTTTAATAATCTCATTCCACTTTCTTTCAAAACTTTATATATAACAGCTGGCACATTCGGATGCCACATCAGTGACATTGAGAGGTGTCACAAGAGACTTAACAGGGCAATTTCAATGCGAGGTATCAGAAGACGCGCCACTTTTCCATACCGATATTCGAACTGCAGTGATGCAAGTTATTGAGTTGCCTAATGATGAACCCCGTATGATTGTTGAGAAAAAGACACTTTATGCAAATGATAATCTAAAAGCATCGTGTAGCGTTGGTACATCATTTCCACCTGCCAACATAAGTTGGTATATTAATAACAAAAAAGTAAGTTACTTGTTCATTAATTCAATTTCAAGAAAATTCAAAGAAATTTTTTAAATTTAAAAATTAGGTCAATAAACTTCCATTTCAACGAATTAGTTATCGAGCATTTGAAGGAACACCAACTTATTCTGCATTAGAGCTCTATCCGCATAGCCCTATATTACAGGAAATTTATCAAAATCCGACGCCGTTTACAAACATCATTACAGTGTCTTGTGAAATCACAATTTTTCACATTTATCACAAGAATTTACAACAACGCATTGTATTAGTTGATATGTCAAGTACTGTGTCTCCCAATATGCTTGGCTGGGATGGTCGACGAAAAAATGGCGATCCTGATAATTCAGCATTGCATTCCGCATCAAATAATAAGGGCTTATTAATAGAAAAAATCATATTAATGTCCATTCTAGTTTCAACAGGATTAAATATGTTAGGAATTTTCACTTCGATATGACATTAAGCATTAGATTTGTATGTAAGATATAAACATGACTTGAAAAATTACAAGAATAATTATTTTTAAAAACTACACTATGATACAAGAATATTTTTCGTGGATGAGAAACTGTTATGCCTAATGTTTTGAACGTTACAGTTTTTGTCTTTTAAGAAAAGAAAAAAATAATGAAATGTAAATATGAACAAAACTTAAACTTGAAATAGCAACAAGCATAGAATTTGTTTTAACTCATAATAAACTGTAGCAACTGTAACCCTAATAAAATTTCACATGAATAAAAATCTATGCTGTCAAATGTATTTTCACTGACATTGTTAGTAACTTAAGCATCAATCAAAAATGATAATTTTTCTCTAAAGTTTTAATTATGAAAAAATTCACCTTTTTTTTAAGTTATTTTCGAAAACATTTAAGGTTTAGAATTTGAGTTTATAAGAAATCAAAATGCCTAAAATCTGCATAGCAGATTTGTTATTTTTACACAAAATTTAATGTTTTGAGTTTAAAATCTCGATAAGTTAAATTTAAATATGGCTAGTTTATTAAGTTAATGTTCAAATCTTATTCTTATTATGTCTAGTTTCTGTAAATAATACAGATTTAATTTTTAACTGACATTAATATTTTTTTCGAGGTAACAATATCCATATGAATGTAAATATTATTTTAATAAGAAAACCCAATAAAATTAACGATTCTTAACAAAATAATGAGAACATATATATTAACAATGACGATAATATAGATGTTTTAAGTGAAAACTATTTATATATAAAAAACCGAATAAACAATTAATAAAATAAAACAAAAAATTGGGGTAGAAATAAAAATAATTTTAATGAGATAAAAGCTTATTTTTGTTAAAAATAAGTCAAATACAAAAAAAAGGCTTAAAAAGTTTAAAAAATATAAAATCTCTTCTCTCTTAACCCTTACTTAATTAATCCGATTATGATGTTGTTAAATTCTGAAATTTATATGAAAAAAAAAATGATTTATTACAGAGAAAAGTTTAAACTGAAAATGAACTCGACTAAATAAGCATGAAGCTCATAATTTTATATTGCAATTATAGAATAATAATCCTTTTATAACAAAAAAAAAATTGAATTGATAATAATTTTTGTAAATAAAATAAGTGAAAATGTAAATTAAGAAAGTGATTATTTGTTATAAACGTTATCTGTACACAGCAAGAAATCATGTTTGGTATTAACAAGAAAAAGCAAACATGATAGCGTAAACAATTTAAATAAATAAAAATTATAAAAAAACTAGTTTTTATTAATTTTCTTAATATTTTGGAAATATTTCAGGAAAAATAGAGATTAATAAATTGCAAAGTATTTTAATGGATGATATAGCTAATCATGGCAATAAAGTTATTATTTCAATATGATTTTGGACAAAAACATTTTTAATTTATTGGCAGAACAAAATTGTAATTTTAAAATCCAATTTGAGTTCACTTGATAACCTCAGAAATAATGCAATAACAAATTTGTTCCATTGCAATTATCAAAATATTTGGTATTGATGCATAAAATGTCATGTAAGCTATCAAAAACGTTCATTTGTCTCAATTCAGAAATTAAAAATTAATGAATCAGCTTTGTATAAAATGAGGAGTTTAAAATGCAAACTATTCAGTGCTGTGTTGAATTGCAAAGAGTCAAGATGAGACTTTGTGTGTTGTTTGTCGTTCTTATCACTACGGTGACTGCACGTTATATGACAAATGAAGTTAAATATGCGGATTCGGATTTTATGGTGAAACAAAAAGCAATTTTTGAAATTTTCGCAAACATTTGGCAGCCAGAAATTCACAATTCGTATTATGATGAAGCAAAGAATTTCAATTATTTGACGATCAAAGACAAAATTACAAATGAACATGCCTTTGAATGCTTTAGCAACTGTTATGAAAAAGGTTTCATTGGAATGGAAGATATTTTCTCACCACTACAAAAAGAACATAATCATCAAATGCTTGCCGTCTTCAAAATGTTGTACTATGCAAAAGATTGGGACGCATTCTACAATTTTATGGTTTGGGCTCGCTTTAACATAAATCCCGGAATGTTTATTCAAGCTGTCACCATGGCTGTACTTCATCGTGATGATTTTGCTGGTTATATTTTACCAGCAATTTACGAAATAAGTCCATATTATTTTTTCAACAGTTATGTTATTACAAAAGCACGCCGTATCGAAATGATGGGATACGAGAGCATGGAGAAAGTCGGTAACGTTCATACATACACAATTCCAATGAATTATACGAATTATTATATTAAAACAAATCCTGAATCAAAATTGGCCTATTTTATGGAAGGTTAGTGTTTATTTACTTTATAATACACTCATGTGTCTAGCATAATCATCCTGAATTGCATTGTTCATTATTAAACATAAATGCAAGGACAAAAGAAGCAAAGTGTGAAGAATAGGAAATGAGAAATTGTAAGAATAGTGAAATTAAGGAAAACATGGTGACATTGATTGAGTATGTTGGCATTCTGTGAATAATTATGATTGCTTTCCATGAAGATTGATATACTTCATGTAGACGTTCTTTGTATGCTTATGCAAATTCAAATATATATTAAAGAGAGCTTAACAATTGTGATTGCAATAACATAAAGCACAGAGAAATATATGAAAGGATTAAAAATTTATTCTTTAATAAGATTTGGATTAGTTCTCATTTCGTATCAAATAATAACACAAAATATTATAAAATGAAATACAAACACGATTTTATAAATTTGATTTTTTTTTCTCTCCCAAATTATAGACATGGGTCTAAATTCTTATTATTACTATTGGAATATGGATTATTATGGATATCTTGGAGGAGATCAGTATGATTTGAAGAAGGATAGACGTGGTGAATTTTATATGTACCAAATACGTCAAATTCTCGCTCGATATTATTTAGAACGGTTGTCAGTAGGGCTTGGTGAGATTCCTGAAATCAACTTTTGGTCAACAATAAATACTGGCTACACTTCAAACTTGATGTTTTATAATGGCGTCAATTTTCCAACTAGAACAAATTATTATATGATGCATCTTAACAGTGACAACTCTCGATATGTTGATCATTTATTTGGACTTGAACGTCGTATATTCGATGCAATTGATAGTGGATACTTTTTGAAACCAAACGGTGAAAAAATGATGCTTGACAAACCAGAAAGTATAGAGTATTTAGGAAATCTTATTCAAAATAATAAGGATACGATGGGGAACACATACTTTTACGGATTGCTTGAAACTTTTGGTCGTAAGCTGCTTAGTGGTTCATTCGAAAGCATAGAATCTTTTACCAGAATTCCTGGGTAAATATCAATGAGAAATGATTAAATATAATAAAATACAATATATTGTTTTGGAAAGGGTTACCATGGTATAACTTATACATTATTTCAATATGAGTTCTTTATAAAATGAATGATGCAACGCCTCCATGGATACCAATCGCTTTATTTTCCCACATATGGAAATGAAACTTGTAGCAAAATTAATTACATAAACTCATTTTAATTATGGCATTAGAGATCTAGATAATGAAATTCATCAGCTTTTAAAGAATTTGCATCTTTATTAGGTTTTAATTAGGATTAATTTTAAGGGCAAGATGCTTTAACATTTGTAGTTCAATTTAAAAAAAATTCTAAAATTTTATAACCTTAATTCTTGAATCTTTTTATTTTTGCGTCTAGTGTAATGGAGCTATTCGAAACAGCAATGCGTGACCCAATGTTTTACGTCTTCTATAAGCGTATTACATTCTTCTATGAAGCATTTATCAATAAAATGCCACGATACAAGAAATCTGATTTAGTGTTTGACGGAGTCAAATTCGAAAGCGTCGAAATGGATAAGTTGTTAACGTATTTTGATATGTTTACTGCCGATATTACAAATGCTGTTGATGTTGCTTTGGATACGCAAGACAATATTAAATCTAAAGTTGAATTTAAAGCTCAGGTTCCACGATTGAATCACGTGCCATTTAATGTTCACATGAAACTTACCTCAAATAAAGTACAAAAAGCAGTAATAACGATGTTTGTTGGACCAAAATACGATAGCTTTGGAAAGTATATAGATTTTACGCAAAATCGAAATAATTATTGGGAAATCGATAGGTGGATTGTTGACTTAAAAAAAGGTGCAAATGTAATTGACAGAAAATCAACAGAATTTTCTTGGTTTGTTAAAGATAGAACAACTTATTATGAACTTTACAAAGGACTTATGACAGCAATAAATGGAGGCGACAAATTCCCATTGGATATGTCCGAAGCACACTGCGGATTTCCATCTAGATTAATGTTACCAAGAGGACGCGTTGGTGGTCTTCCTGTTCAATTCTTCTTTATGGTTTATCCATATCATGCACCATCTGTAGAACGCTTTACTGGATTCGACCCGTCAGTCTCGTGTGGCGTTGGCAGTGGTGCTCGCTATTTAGATTCAATGCCATTCGGATATCCATTTAATCGACAGTTCGAATATCATTTTAAACTGACAGAAAATATGATTTTGCATGAGACCTTCATTCATCATAAGGCAAATGATGAAATTATGGTGCCATACTAAGTTTTCAAAACATATTCAAAAATATTACACTTACATAGAGTTTTGATATTTTTTTCACGTTCCAAATTTTTCCGTAAAGCAAAATACAATAAAAATAAAAATTTCTGATTTAATTTTTCTTTTTTATAAATTTTCAACAAAGAAAAAGAACTCTTGTTTTTCTTTTCAGATGAGAACTCTCAAGAGAACTCAATTTGTGAAAATAATTTTAAACCCCAATTTAGACTGATTCTAGAAAATGGGTTTTTTATGTTTTTTAGTCGCACTTCATAACAATAATACTAAAAGTAAAAATAATAATGTTGTTTATTGTTAGTTTTTATGAAACCTTTCTATCCTTAATAGCCCAATATTCATTTAAACTAAGAAATCTACTTTTCAATAATTTGGTTGATTTTGCATTACAACTAGAATAGAAACAATTTGAATGTTTATTTATCTTTTTATAAATGGTTTTCAGATGTTAAATGAACAGAAAAGCAGCTATCTAACATTAAAGAAGAACAAAAGCTATTCACAAGCTATTAAAATTGTATCAATAAAATCTGAGAAGGACAGAAATGTGTATTATAAAATATCCTGTAAAATAAGTTTTAAGGAGCTGATGGAAAAAAATTGTTTTACTAATTTGTTTATTTTTTTCTGCTTGAAAGTCAATTATATCATTAAAGCTTATCTTATAGAATCTAGATTATAAACAATAGAAAACCTTAATTTAAATTCCATCAAAAAATGTCAATGAGAGTAGAATCATAGCTTCGTAAAATGTGTAGTTAAAAGTAATGAAACTTTATTATAATTTAAAAATAATATCATTATGTAGATTATTGACATCTTCTTAAAACTTTTGCTTTAAAGATTAATTATCGGAGCTTTGCGAGCTTAGACGTCCGTGCAAATAAAAAATCTCAAAATTACATATCAGACATTAAAGCTCCAGGATGGCAAAAAATTAATCAAAAAATAATAAAGTTCAAACATGTTAAAAATCTAAAGTAAAGTTTTTATTCCTCTACATATTTTTTTTTGAAAGTATTAATTTTTGTACAGATTAAGATGCTTTCAAACTCAAAATATAAAATTATAATAACATTGTCGCATTTCATCTTTTGACCAAGCTTTTGCATATTTAATTATATAGAATGATGAAAACATGATTGTTTGAATTAATTGAATTTTCTATTTTTCAATAAGCAAATTTAAAATAGCATTAAATATTAATAATAAAAAAATGTGCCTAATCTTTTATTAGATTCAAACACATTCATCGCATTAGCTCGCACTTGTGCATTTGTATGAAATGAGGAATATTAAACACATCCGATGTGATAATACAATGAGCGATTTGTGTGCCTTGTACCGAACAACAAAAAGCAATCAATCAATGAAACACTTCATGAATAGAATTTAATAATAATTTTTCACAGTAGGTTATGAATTATGTATGATGAGTGGGAAAAATTTGCATATTAAGGATCAATATTAATTTATAAATGTTATGTGATACAATCTCGATAAGCCAAAACTTACAAATATTGCCAAACAAAAACCAGAATGTCATAAAATATGTAAAAAAAATGTTTTAATATAAAAATATGAGTCAGTTAAATTTGTATAACTGAAGTTTTAAGGTTGTTTTTTTTTGTAGGAAAATATGTAAAAATAATATAACCAAAAAAAAAAAACAAAAATGCACATAGAACTACTTAAAAAATCATATAATAATAAAAGTGATTAAACAAAATAAAATATCCTGTGAATACTAAAACTATGAACAATTACTAAGAATACAATTTTTAATACTTTGATACATGTATTTAAGAAAAATCTAGCATTATATTCAATGAAGTGGGTTTCTTTGACAACATTATTTCAAATTATGCCATTTATTTACTCAGTTGCAATCGACCATAGAGAGCAATTTACTGCAATAACGTCAAATTACGACGTTTTAGATCATGAAAAATATCAGTTACTAGGAGGTAAGTAGCATTTAAAATTGTCGACAACGTTTTATTTGGAAAATAGTAAACAAAGTATCATGAAAGAAAACTATCATATATCTCACGTAACATCAATATTTTATTAATTTTGTCTACAAATGCGAAGCGATATGTTCCTTATTCATTTATATCTTTTTGTCTTTTTGTTGATGTTATAGAGTCTCTTTTGCTCTATATATAAACATACGTACATGCATATATTATTAGAAATGTGTCCTCTGTGCGATCTACATAATATGGAGATGAACATATGAGCCATACGCTGCATAAATTTTGATGGTGATGAGCCATTAGATGAATGCTAAACCTCATAAGTTTTATGTAAATGTTTGTCATTTAAAAGCATGGTAGATCCCATAAAAACCTTTATCACACATACAGGATGAAAAGCTATACCTTGTGTGTGCTTGTAATATAACAAAGAAAAAGAAAAGCTACGCTCAGCAATATTTGGACCAGGTAGAAAAGGAAATAAAAAGAGATAGAGTGGGATAGAGGAGTTAAAGGTTCATCTATCCACACATTTGCTATCATACACATGTAAATAAAAAAAAGGGATATTAAATTTTTAGTAATGAGTTTTGCTATTAAATTCTCATTTTTCCCAACTGCTCAAAAAATGAAAGGATTTATAAAAGATTTCAAAACTTTTCAAAAGATACGAGTATAATAAATTCCGTTAAATCTTCATCCTCATAAGTAGATTAATTTTGATTTATCTTCAACCATAACACAGTCTCCATAATCATAATAATAAAAGATATGATGGACGTTGATTCATAATGTCATTGTTAATCCACTTTCCACATCATCATTCATCAGGAAAAAATTTATAGGAATTAGTTATATGTACACATACACATACGCACGAAAAAGGCAAACATAATGGCAATAAAATTTTATCGTGTAGAAATTTCCATATGTTTCATAATTCAATTAATCTCACTCACCCATAAAAATGAATACCAAAAAAGGAAGGAAAAATATAGTTGGCGGATGATGGCTTGCAGGAGGAGTAAGAGAAAGGAGACTATGGAGAAATACTGCTAGGTGTATTATATTAATTGGACAAAGTCACGTTCTCGTTGAATTCAAAACCTCATTTTCGAGTATGGAAAAATATATAAATGGATGGAAGGAGGTCAAATGAATGATTACAATTTTACCTTTCACATCCAACAAGCAAATTTCCTTACTTTCTCGATGAGCGAGTAGCAATCACGTAGGCTACTTTACTCCTCCATTCAAATTATTTTACTTGGTCTGTGCTTCTTCATTGTCCATATTTTCTATCATGCTAGCAAATTCGAATTTGTCCAAACACGAATTTATATTGTCGAAATTTTATTAGCAATCACGAGTTGATTTTCAGGCTTCATGACTACCTTTTTTTGTTCTCAATAAAATAAATATTTTTTTTCTCTGTGTAGACTCAAATTAGTTTTTTTTCTTTCTCATGATTACACGACAATTTTTTATAGCATTTGTGCTTTTGACATTATGTAGGACGATAAGTTATTTTCGTATGACTTATACGCTTGCTCACTTTTATAATCTTTATTCTTCCTTCAAGATTAAAATCGTTTCTTTCTTAGAAAAACGAAAGTAATCGAAATCATAACCTTTGAAGTGAAATTTTAAATGTTGAATCATTCAAAAGATGCTGAGAAGGTTAAAAAAGAATTGTTTTTCAAAGTTTTATTTTGGTTTCGTTGAGATATGATAGTTATGTCCTTGACAATGACAAGCCTTAGATCATCAGCAAAGAAAGTGGAGACAAAAAAGGGTGAAACTTATGTATGACACTAGCCCAAGTAATTTAATAATCCTCGATAGCTCAGTGGTAGGACCATGCGACTAGAAATCGTAGGACGTGGGTTCGAGTCACGCTAGGGATCCGTTATTCAGGGTAATTCTTTTTCTGTTTAATGACCGGTTATCATTTCAGTATAAAACTTTGCTCATTGTTTTAAAGGATCCTAAAAGCAATGCTGTTTACAGCATGAATATAAAGAACATGCTCATTAAGTAAGCAAACCTTTAAATACATTTTGCTATTACAAGTGAGAATGGCCATAAAAATATGTTCAAAGCATGCTTATTGTCTGCTAGAGGATAGTATTTCAAGTTTTGAACATCAAACGATTTTGATTAAAATGAAATGAGTGTTTGAAATTACTTACTGACAAACCAAATCTTGGAACGAATTCTGCAAAATTTGTTCATATCAAAAAAAAAAGCCTCTCAAATATTTTATTCGCAGATATCACGTGTTTTTTTATACAAGGAAAGTAATGATGCCAGGTAAAATAAAAAAAAGGAAATCAAATTCATTACACGAGAGGGAAATTTTTATTACTACAACGAAACGTTTTTGGCTTCTGTTTTCTCCTATCATTTTTCTAATTCGGCTTTTTCACTCTTTCCATTTTGCATATTGTATTGTATTACAGAAAGAAAGAAAAAGTAATCCTACACTCTACTTAATTCATCTATCTAAATGATGTGTGTATATAAGCGTGTATTTGTGGTATGTTTTTGGATGAATGTTGAATATTCCTTTCAACAGCATGATGGATTAGATCTGCCTCGACCAAATGCGTGTATTGTATAGCTACATGTATTTTGGGAAGCTTCTTTCATCTAATTTTTCTATTTAATGCGTTGTGTATTTGAAAAGGGAATGAGAGAATGAGGGAAACATATTTACTTTATTTTGTTTTCATCTCTTTGAGGAATTCTGTATTAGGAGTTTATCGTTCATTCCCACTATTGTTCTTAATATATTCTCATATACGATTCTCTTCAACCCCATAAGCCTCAGTTGCTGCGATAATTACAATCATTGAGTCATTATTTACAATCAATTTAGTATTTCTTTGCCTTAAAAATGTATGTATATACGTATATTTATGTAGTGCACAGTTATAGAATGATTAACTGAATGTCAATTGTTGATGAATCATGTTTACTTCGTTTATACGTGTTTTGCTTCTCTTGCTTACTCCTTCTTGTTTTCTTCGCTTTTGATATCAATGCCTCAAGCATTTTCCTTAGATTTCGGATGAAAATTGGCGTTAGATGCAAAAATGCGGGTTGAAAAGTAAAAA